GGTGGGAGTGATACAGGCAAGGATTCAGAACATTTTTTAACTGCCAGTACTGAAAATTTTATCGCAGGATTCTCTGCAGTCTTTTTCTCCCCTCTGAGAGATTACAGATGCTTCATGGAGCACACTGAAAATTCCTCAGAATTACCATCAGCCCGATGTACTTGTCTGTTTCTTGTTGAGTGTCTATTAAAAACCGTTTGGTAAGTAAGTACTAGGGTAAAATAGATGAAGAATCTCTGGGGTTTTCTGTAGCACTGGAAGTTGTGGTGCCTGCACAGTGACTTGGCCAGGTCACCTCATTTGGAGGAGAATTGCTAGGTGGGGCATGAGAAGATGAAAGCAACAAATCTTAGGAATGTGCCTGTGGCACAAGAGACAAGTGCTTGTAGAAGAAATGGTTAGTCAGAAGTTTGGGAAGAGAGATTACTTCTGTCGGCTAGTTGAAACAAGCATGTTCTTTGCAATATCAACACGCATACTTTTTATCCTCTCAAACGCTCAGTTTTCTACACTCATTTCAATGCAGAGGACCTTTCTGCTGATGCCCTGCAGCAAGCTGCTGGTGCCACCAGATCAGCCAGAGTCACAGGGAGTCTTCCAGTAGCTAGTACCTGGCCCTGAGGGATTACATGCAGACACTTTTTTTTTTCCACCAAATTTGCAGTCAGTCTCAATCCCTGTAATCTCTAATGAGCAACACCAGTAACTACCAGGGAAAACTGGTATAACCTGTATCTGCCTATCTTGGATCAAGCACTTGGAGCTAAGGTATGCATTTGAACCTCTTCTCTGTGCTTCCATGGAAGAGTTGTTACATACGTTGCGTTTTTCGCTTGTTCAAGATAGTGGCTGTTCTTTACTTGCTGCTGGAGACTACACTGAACATATGCATTAGGGAAGGGCATTTGCCCTAAGATATTTTCAGCATTTTCAGCATAGCAAGAAGTAGGGTCATAAAGAAGAAAGGAGTGTAGATACAGGTCCCCTGTGGTGGACATAGCACTGGCTGCAGGACTACTGGGCACAGGATAATATAAAATGCAGACAAAATGACTATTGACTACTTTCAGCCACATTTATTATACTACCAAATTGCAGCCACTTAAAACTTCATAACATTCAGCATCTGTAACCTGATGTCCAGTTCTGCAATATTTTTTGATGCTATCTGCTCAGACATCTCCCTTGCAACTAGATGGACTTGTGGGTGGTATTCTTTAAAAGCTCTGATTCAGTTCCAGAATTTTGGTGTTGCAGAAATCTTGTAACTTCTGACTACTATTTTTTTAAGTAGAGGTTTTCTGAGAGACGTAGCATTTTCAGTGTAATGGTCAGTTAAAGGTTTGAGCTGTCCCTTAGAGTTGGATTGTTCATCTTCTAGCTGCAGTACCAACACAGGTGGTTTGATTTTAAGAATTTTTGAAAACCCTTGCTTTTCAGTGTTACTCTGGAAGCGAGTAAGAGTTTTACAGTGCATTTGTAAACTGCAAACAAAATACTCCTTGCTACCCTTCTCTGAATTTCACCAAGATCTTAAAACTCTCAACGTTTTAAGAGAACACCTGAGTCTTAAATGTTGGTTTTTTGAACCATTTTTCCTGTAGATGTCTGTTGTCCCTCTTCAGGAAACGGAACTATAAAAAGAGCAATTGCTGTATTATAAAGGGCAAGTAAATCCTCACAGCTTTGCACGAGATTGTGCATACATGTGAAGCCAAAACCAAAGCTGGAGTAATTTCAGAATATGCTGCATCTCTGTAAAAAATATTTAAACCTCAAAGTTGTGTTCTTGTAATAGCAACAGCCGTGAAAATTCCCTTCCCTGACCATATCCCATGTAATGATTGAAGGATGTAGCCCTGTAGTTTATACTTCTGAGACTGGGCTGTCTTGCCCCCTCCGAACCCCGCATTTATGTGGGCTCTGAACTGCTCTAACTACAAGAGGCCTCGCACGGATGCAAAGACCTGCCCTGACAGGCTTCCTTGCAGTATCGAGGCTGTAATGGTTTAATGCTCAAGTCAATTTACGCGGTTTCCATGAGCGTGTTAGACTGGATCCTAAGTTACACCTGTTCTAGTAACAAACACAGGGTTAGCACTGATGCTCAGCAGCATCCAGCGGTTGTTCGTGCCGCTCTCTTGTTAGTGTGGTCCTGCGGCACCGCTCTGGCCTGGGCCGGCCAGCAGGCCCCAGGCTCTGTCTGGGCATGGGTGCCAGGGGATGGGGCAGGAGCCGCTCCCCCAGGCCTTTTGGTACGAGAAGGACATGGACCTGTTGGAGTAAGTCTAGAGGAGGCCACGAAGACGGTCCGGGGGCTGGGGCACCTCTGCTGTGAGGACGGGCTGAGAGAGTTGGGGGTGTTCAGCCTGGGGAAGAGAAGGCTCTGGGCAGACCTTAGAGCAGCCTGCCAGTACCTAAAGGGGCTACAAGAAAGCTGGGGAGGGGCTTTTTACAGGGGCATGGAGTGATGGGACAAGTGGTGATGACTTTAAACTGGAAGAGGGAAGATTTGGATGAGATAAGAGGAAGAAATTCTTCCCGGTGAGGGTGGTGAGGCAGTGGCAGAGGTTGCCCAGAGCAGCTGTGGCTGCCCCATCCCTGGAAGTGTTCAAAGCCAGGTTGGATGGGGCTGTGAGCAACCTGGTGTGGTGGGAGGTGTCCCTGCCCGTGGCAGGGGGGGTGGGACTGGGGGGGCTTTAAGGTCCCTTCCAACCGAACCCTTCCGTGATTTGATGATTCTGTGGTATGGTCTTTGGTCTCTTTTATTTAGTGGTGTAGATACAGCACCAAGGTTTAATTTTGTATTTCGGACATCGCTGTGCGTTTCACATAAACAGCATGTCCCAATAATGCATTCTGACACTCCTGGTGTTGAAAGGAGGAAAGGGGAGGTTAGCAAGTCCAGCGTTGTTCCACTTTGCCGTTTACCTACCCTGGCAGTAACGTTTTACTCGAGCATAAACCATCCATCTGCATTTTGCTGCTTGTGAAATAGAGTACATTTAGCTTCCGTTGTGAACACAAACACACTGCATACTGAAATGAGGTGCTGTCAGCCACAGGTCAGTATGTGACAGTATTAGATACTTGCTGTAGCACTGACGGCTTCATTCTCCACCAGCCCCATCCTTCTGTCTCCTGTGAGTGTATTTGTGTGCGTGTGTGTATTTCCCAGTGGTAGAAGAATTCAAATACCCCATCTCTTTGGTTATTTACATAACTTAGTGTGCAGATTTTTATTACCAGATTTTTTTAATTGATGAACAGTTGTCATCAGTGATGTCACTATTCTAGAAACATTCATAATGTCTACTTTGATGGTTTTTTCTCTCTTTTAACCAAAGGGGGACACTGATTCTATAGAACAAATACGCATGGAAAGCAAAATTGAATTATTTTTCTTACTGTACAGTTCTTAATAACTGTATATAGAATATGCAGATACCTCTCTTGGCTGCAGTAGTCCATCTGTTCTGACAGTATCTCATATTAGATTATCCAAGACATTTGCCAGCGTCTGAGTCTGTAGCTTTGCTGCAAACCTCTACCAGAAGCAGAAAGAAGCTACGTTTTCATGAGAGCAAAAGAATCTACACAAAGCAAACTAAATAGGCTTCAAGCTGCTAAAAGACTACTTATGTGTCTGGGGAAAAGAAGTAAACAATCTTTTTGTGTGTGCTGCTTTCACTGTAGGCTTTTCAGAGCCCTCTTTTCCTTATCCTAAATGCCTCTTTTGCCTGCCAAGAATAAGGATAATTAAATGTCCTTTAAGTGGTGTTTAAAGCTGCATGATAAGAATACCTATCCTCCTGATCCAGTTCCATATAGTAAATATGAAAGGAGAACAGTCCTATCAGGCGTGCTACTTCATCGCTCCTGAGACTAGCTCAGGCGGAGACTTGAAATAACCAATTTTCCCCCGCAGTGACATATGCAGCATCCTTACAGGCATCTCCAGCAGTACGCCTGCCTCTCGTGTCTGCTGTTTATACAGTAGTGCAACTGAATTGAAAAGCAACAGCCTTACACAGGCTAATTTTAAAGCAGTGCTCTGGTTTGTGATTTTAAAAGGCAGCTACCAATAAAAACATAAATTTAAAAGGATCCTAGAGTCCTTTCTGCTGACCCAGTGATAACTATATTTTGAACTAAAATTGTTTTTCCATTGTCCTCAAAGGGGTTTTTTAATGCCAATATATGATTATTAGTACTTTAAAAAAAAGTACGGTTATTTTGTACTTTCTGACGGTGCTGAGGATGAGATGACCGTCAGTACTAGCTGTTTCTCTTCCCCACTTCCTAGAGTTTTTCCTTTATGATAAATAGAAGGTAGTTGTATGGATAAATGTTACTTAATGGTTTTCTTTGCAGTATTGGATAATGTCTTTGTATAAATGCTGTTATAGCATATGTATTATTTGTGGTAAAAAAATGCATATTTCAATGTGTTAGCCTCCTTTCAGATAAACTGCAAGACTTGGGAGAGCTATCCGTGTCTCCTGAAAATTTTTTTCTGAAGTGTAATACTTTAAAAAAGCAGATCTGATTATTCAGATTAGTCTTCAGATTTCCTTCCCCTTTTCTTTATTGCATGTGAGGCATTAGCACGGAAACACACCTCACGTTTCTCAGGCTTTTGTCTGTTCCTGCTGCTTTGCCTACTGGAAGTCAAACAGTGCTACTTGGTTTCTGACATAGCTGATTACTATGGAAATTATTACCATGTCATAAACAGAGGATTTCATGTGTCGAATGTGCGGCAGGAACACAGACAATTCTGTAAACAGAAGGTTCCTGGTAATAAGGAAAAAGGGAAGAGAAATGCAGGAAACACATGATGCCTGTGCAAAATCCATTGTTGCAGATTCTTTTTCAGGAGGCATAACCTGCAAGAGCATGGGGATCAAGCAGTTTGCTGGGGTTTTTTGTTTTGAAATGAGTAAGAAGGGAAATGTGAATTTGTGCTTCAAGAAATAATTCTTTTATTTTGACTCCAGCAGTTGGCACTGGCCAAAGTGATTTCCGAGGGCATTCGATGTATGTCCCAGATCACTGTTCCACGCTAGGGAGACTAGACAGCTATCGCTCTGCTATGCAGCGCTCTGAAACCAAGGACACCAGCTGCCAGACGGAGGAAGTTAAAGTTGTGCCCCCTTCAATGAGAAGAATACGAGCGCAGAAAGGACAAGGCATTGCAGCCCAGATGTCTCAGTTCTCCAGCTCATCTGGAAACATGTCAGTGATGAGTGATTCTGCTGCAGTTATATTTGCTTCTCGCCAAAATAGCGACATAGGTTTTCACAGCTTGCCTCGGGCTGGTGCGAGAGTGTCTCTTCAGTCCCTAGAACAGACACAGAGCATCTCTAGGCAGACGGAAGACATCGCTGGCACTTTACCCCACCAGATAAGTAAATTACAAGTGGATGATAGTGGTGTGCATTTGAGGAATACTCTCACAACGGGGACCCTGTCGAGGCCAAAGTCTCAAGAGGTGAGAAGCTATGATAGCGAAAAGTCCTCAAGTCCAGCATGTGTGGTCTCTCCTCATGCCACCTACTCAACGAGCATCATACCCAACGCAACACTGTCATCCTCCTCAGAAGTTATTGTTATTCACGCTGCCCAGAGTGTTGGATCATTGGATAGTAAAACTGCCAGCTCCACTGCCTACCCAAAGCCGAGAGACAATCCTGTTGTCAGCAGTGCAGTAAGTGGGAAAGAAGATCACCATTCTTCAAGTGGTAACTGGAGTGAGAGTAGCTCCACGCGTCACTCACAGACTTCAGATACCATCCCATCTAATCCTGTCATGATGCTTTCTCTTGGTGACTCTGCTGTCTCTCTTAGCACTCCTGGAAATGCAGAGGCTGGGTCTCAGAGCACGAGTTACAGCTGTGGGGACAATCTTGCCTTACCAAACCCTTCCCAGGACAGCGATGGCAGGAGTGAATCTAGCTCTTCAGGGGAGCAAGCGCAAACGGCAGTGAACAGCACGGAGCATTGGCTGTACAAGTCTGTAGAAAACAGTGAGACTCCTTCATGCAAGGTAGTTTGTACCACACCAGGCTCTGCCACTCCCAGGAGCAACCAGAGCAGCAGCAGCCTGGAGAGGACTTCGATCAGGGACGATTCTACTTCCCTGTATTCTGTGGACCACGATGGTTATTACAGTTCCATGCATATGGACTCTGGACTGAAGTCAGACAGGGCATGCAATAGTACTAATGGTTTTGGGAACCCCAGACACGGCGTGATAAATGTCTTTGAAGGAAAGGAGAAGAAACATCAGGATGACCAGTCAGGCCAAGGTGACAGGTCCCTTGCAAGAAACATCTCTCTGAAAAAGGCAAAGAAGCCGCCTTTGCCCCCATCCAGAACGGACTCACTCAGAAGGCTACCCAAGAAAAAAGCCCAGTCCAATGGACAGGTACTTGATGAAACCCTCATTGCCACCCTCCAGCATTCTCTGCAGTTGAATCTCAAGTGCAAAAATGGCAGCTCCCCTTCCCAGAGCCCCTGCAGCGATTATGAGGATCCCTGGGTGTTGCGCTCCCGCAGCCAAAGCTCAGTCAGTGCAAGCAGCAGCATGATGTCCACCACTGCTCCAAACCTGTACTCCATCTGCACAGTCACTCCCTCTCAGAGTGAAACAAGTAGCATCAAGTCAGAGTATGCTGACCAGTGGGGTTACTACAGCGAGTATGCTGCGGTGGCAGACGACCAGGTGAAATCCCCAGTGACCCATTCTGCCAGTACGTCATCTGCTCTCAGCGATTACAGCATCAGCCACTTCAGCGATGGCTCAAGGGCTTCTGTGCCGCAAGTGCCCAGTGGACTGGCCAAACCAAAGAGCACTTCTCCGGAGAAATCCCACCGAGTCACATCACCATCGAGTGGGTACTCCAGCCAGTCCAATACCCCCACTGCGCTTACTCCAGTGCCTGTATTTTTAAAATCTGCATCATCAGGAAATGGGAAATCCAAGCTGAAGCCTAAAGTGCCTGAAAGGAAATCCTCTCTACTGTCTTCAGTCTCCGTGTCTTCATCCTCTACTTCTCTTTCTTCAAATACATCGACTGAAGGGAGTGTGAGTGTGAAGAAATTGGACTCCACCCTGAGCTGTCCTCCAGATTCTGGTGTGCCTCCTCCACCACCTCCTCTTCCAACACCTCCTCCGCATTGCCCCGAACTTTCTCCCCCTCCTCCTCCCCCTCCTCCTCCTCCAGCAGAAGTTATGGATCTGTCACCATTGCCAGCCTCTCCCACATTCCCTCCTCCTCCGCCAGAAGCTGATGTAAATTCTCCCTTTGCCCAGACCGTCCCATGGTCTCCACAAGAAGCCTCCATGAGTTCCTTCTCTTCCCCTGTTCCTTCTCCTCCTATTTTCCCCTTAGCTGTCCCGCCACCAGCACCACCTCTTGATCCCAAACTAACAAAAGGCGCAACAATATACCCGCAGTATTCTTTTAAGAAACGTAACCAGGAAGACTCTTGCTACAGTCCAGTGAGACAGCCACTCCACAAGCAAGATGCATTGAGACCTGTCATGCCATTAGTAACTACCAAAGCATTGCAAATGGTGCAGCTGAGGTCTGTGAAAAAAGCGACAGAAGGCGAACCATCACCTGAATCTGCTTCTGAAACCACCTCTCAGGAAAAGGGTACTGTAAATTCATCATCGCAGTCTTCCCTAAAGCCACCTCTCTCCCTAAGACTCAGTAGCAGCTTAGGCGAAGAGGAAATGAAAACTCAAGGCACTTCATTTAAAAACTCAGTTCAAACACTGGCTCGGGGTTCTCCTCTCGTTCTCTCCGATAACGTACCTGCGCTTGACAGCGATCAAAAGCCTGTGAGTACAGTAGGTCTAAACAAGTCTTTCAAAGCGGAGGCACTGGGGACAGGTACTGACGACACACCTGAGTCTCCCATGCAGGGTGAAGACCTCCGTTCTGGCATGTCGCTTCAGGGTTCACCAGCATCTCCCGACAAGACTCAGGTCATACTGCCAAGCAAGAAACCACCTCCTATTTCAAAGAAACCCAAACTGTTCCTTGTTGTACCACCTCCACATTTAGATCTTACAGTGGAGAAAACAGCTGAAGTGAGTGATACTGTCAGAAGCACATCAAGCCCAACTGAGAGAGACGCTGTGCTTGCACACTGCGAGGAGGCGAGAAATTGTCTTACAGATGGACTCAGTTCTAGCGAGATGGACTCTGGCAGCCTGGTTCCTGAGGGAGGAGCTGCCGGATTCACCTTCTCTGAGACGATGGGAGCTAATGCCTTTGTGGTACAGCCTGCTGCATCACCAGTTCCAGAAGAACCCAGGCAGGAGGAGCAGTCCGCGTTTGATGAAGGCAGCAGTTCAGGCAGCAGCCAAGACAGCGGCAGTAACGCTGACGAGCACCTATCTCAAGAGAACGAAAGTGGTGAGTCTCTTTTCTCTGACGCTGCTTCAGATGCAGCAGTAGCTATTTTAAAGAAGCTGGGGAGTGAGAACAGCAATCCTAGCATTCAGGCAGGCTTCTGTAGATAAAAGAACCTCTTGCGGTAGTTATAACTAAAAGCCTAAAGAAAGTTGCAGGGATCCAATTAATACTTTATGAGATTTCTTACCGTTTCTTTCTGACTTCTCATTATTGCAGACATGGAAAGAAAATGCTTTTTTTGACTGTGCTAGGATTAAAATACGCTATGAAAACATGGTTAGCTTTGTTAATTTTCATTTTGCATTTTATGGAAACCAAAAAAAATTTCTTTCAGTGTTGTTCTCTGCCTGTGTGTGTGAGCAAGCACAGACATTTCATGCACTGCAGTTTCCGAAACAAGCGTTGTTCTGAAATGACAGTACTGACAACCGTGCACTCACGCAGTCTGTCGGATGCTTTGCCTCAGAGGCAGCGAGGGCTGGTTTCAGGATTATATGCCCGTTGGGTTCCGACAACGGACTGACGGTATTGTTCATTCTCTCTGCGTAGTGGAGGTGTTTGAATCAGACACAGCAAATAGTTCATTCCTGCCGAGCCATAGTTATGGGGAAGAGACGGACGGAGTGGCAACACCAGCGAGACCAAGGACTACTGAGGATCTTTTTGCAGCCATTCACAGGTACTGCAGAAATTGCTCTTCCCGTACTGTCAGGTCCAGTAGTTCTCTCAAAAATTAATTTAACATTGTTTTACTAAAACACCCAGTTACAACAGTCATTGCTTTAACAGAAACCACACATTTATCAACTTTCTACCAAGGCTATATATGAAAAAGATAAGGAAAAGAACTTGTGTTTTATTGTTTTACAAATATATTTAATTCATTCTGAACTAAAAGCTACCAGATTAAATCAATGTAGATTATATTATAAATATCCTGCCCCTTAAAATATCAAGTTACGTCTAGTATTTATTGTACTGTTCTCAATCTGCCATATTAACTCTACTGTTGCTTTTTCTGTGTATCTTTTTGTTTTCATTCTCGTTCTCCATCTCTTTTTACTCTCTTCGCTGCTTATATGGTGCAGTTTGGGACAGAGGCTCAACGCTAATGCTTCATGGCAAGCGTGGCTGAAACTGGCAAGTAACACAACATGTCAGTCATATGGCAAAACATATGGCAAACGCTGGATTATAGTTTGCCATAATCCAGCCTGAAGGTGGGGTGTTTTGTGTCAAACCGGTTCATGAATGAAATGTGCAATACTGGCTCTATTATTAATGACATTATTCATTTCCCTTAAAAACAAAATCATCCTGAATAGGTAACTATATATTTGTGCTCTTCACGTTAGATTCTGAAAAAAAGAAAAATAAAAAACCCAAAAGCTTAAAACCACAAAATGAAACGTGTGCACCATTTAAACAGTACACACAGAAGACCATTACCACTCTCTGAACTACTGAGCTTGCTTTTAGACTAGAATTGATGTAGCGGTAGTGCCATCTCCTGGCTTTGCCTTTTACTTCAAAGTGTAGAGGGGCCACCTCTTTTAACTGGTCACAGAAAGTGCTTGGCAGCCCCCTTACAGGGTATGTAGGTCTTCAGTCAGTTTGTGCATCTGTGCCTGAGCTCTGCATCAGGAGTACTGAGGGCTGGGAAAAGCCTGCTGTGAGAACGTGGCTGGGAGCTAGGAGACTGCAGCACTTGGGATTCAAATGCTATTTTTTTCATTTTTGGAACAATTCTGTTTCAGATGTTATAAAAATTACATATATATCATACTGACTTACAGTTGCCCCTTAGGACTTGGCCTGTCGGAGCAGTTCTAAAAATGGTCTGTTGCATTCATGTTGCATGGCGCTCACTAGGACGGCGACAAATCTGGTTTTAGAATGAAATATTCTGGCCAGTAGCTTTTTTCCGTTACGTATGCAGGTAGAGAGTGGATCTCTGTGTGTATGCACATACACGTAATTCATGAGTTTGTGGGGAAATGGACAATGGAACTGGATGTGACATAGTTAAAACTGCTTGACACATTTGTTATTAAGACCTTGCTTTTGCTGGCTTTAGACTTGAACCACTATCTTCCATGGTTGTTAATTAATAAAAAGTGTTTTGGTTTTCCCTCCACTATTTCTAAAAGGTATTACTTCAGTGATTGGCACTCTTGAATATGTGCTTTGGAGTAAGACAAGAAATTTAGAGGTATGCGTGTTAAGGACAGGAAGAGCAATCTAAGTTTAAGTCACAGTTTTGTTTGAATATATACCCTATCTCTGTCTGAAAAGCCACCAAAACCAAATGTGGTTCTTAATTTTAAGTTTCTGCCATAATTCATACATGCTGAGAAAAAGCTGGTTAGATGCTGACAGCAAACTGACTGCTCTGCACTGCATTCACAGTCTTACTGAATTACTTCAAGCCAGGATAACTAAGTCTTTCCCTGTAGATCTTTGCAATTGAATTTTGCATTCTGTTTATTTGGAATGTCATTTGGGTTTTGGAAGCAGTACAACCGCAGCATTGCACTGTTTAAAGGTACCCATAGGCAGCCAAAATCCTAGTGAAGGGAAATCTTTTCCCTGTAACTAATGTACACACACGTTTGCATACACACTCTCCAAGCATCCAAGCACCAAATTCACTTGCTGCCTACGGCACTGACACACGGTTAAATCTAGGCAAGGTTCTTATGTTTGTCATCATTTCATCCCTATGCTATCTTCTGGTGTCCATTCATCCTCAGGCTGAATGGACGTCAATATTGCATTCTTCTTCCAGAAAGGCAGGTGGAGGCAGCGGCGGCTGAAAATAACAGCTGTTACGGCTGCCTCTGGGAGGTATCGTAAGGGATCTGTGCATAAACTTCACCACTTAAGAGAGACAGGATCGCTCCAAAGTCTTGGCAGAATTTCTGGCGACGTCTGTTGCTGCCACCTACTCAGCTGATGGATCCTGCTACTTTGCTTTCTGGGTTTTTTATTATCATAGGCTGCAATGCGTAAAGCCATTTGAGCTTGCCTTGGTGAAATCTCAAGGCCTTTAAGAAAGTACAGCTAAAGATCACGTTAAGTAGAAACCTGGTTTACAAGGGGAACAGTCTGTATTGAACACATGCTTGATAAAAATTAATACGGAATTATAGCATGATAATCTTGTATTTGTAACAAGTCTGCTGACTTGTTTTATACTTTTACGAAAATAGCATGCGTAAAATTAGCCTTTATACAATTTTTTTAATTAATTCTCACTTAGCCTGCAAAGAAGCAAAGCTGCTTTGCTGCAGATACCAGCCATGTAATTCATTTCTTTCTTTAAGATTTCTAATAATGTGAAAATGGGGCAATAGAAGTCCAATTTCCACTTATTCCCAGTTCCATGATAGTTTCTTAATTCAGCTTCTGTTATCCCTGCACTTTACATTTAAATTAAAAAACACTCTGCCCTTTCATTTGGGAAGGTAACTTTCATGTCAGGAAGTTGGTCTCTCCTTCATTTAGTCAAAGAGTTGCAATGACAGAGCACCAACAGAACTGTGCATTTTGTCTGTGCATCTTAACAGAAGCTGGAAAACTCAGTTTTCACTATTCATTTAATATTTGCGTTGGGGAGGGGATTTTTTTTTAAATCATTTGATCCAGAATGGTTACATGTGGCTCCCTTTACTCCATCTTAACTTCAGCAGCAGCACATTGCAATATCCTTTTCTAAAGGCAAGTGCACTAAACTACAATTCTAATTCTCCAGAGAGCATCAAATGAAATAGTAAAACAAAACAAAACAGAACCCCCGACATACTCTAGCCAACGTACTTTTAATCAAGTCCCCAAACTAACAGACAAGTGGCATTGAGTGTAATCTTCATAATGCATTAGTCTTAGCAGTTGAATACTGACTCCAGAAAACCTGATTCACTAAATTCGCTAAAGTGTTTTGGACATCAGTATTGCCAGTTTTAGTAGTTTCATTGTTCCAGATTTGCAGAAAAAGAAGAATAAACTTAGCTTATACCTCCAATACCCGCATTAATGCCTGTACAGTTTTGGTGGTGGTCTTACTCATGCTTTAGGTTTAGATTACTTCTCCCTTATCCCGCTCTCTGGTTTAGCTTAATTCATTGTCATCCCTGTAAGCTGAGTCTAATTAGGGGAGGTAAAAAGTTTCATTCTTTGTTTGGTCCTCTTTTGTTGTTTTTCAAACTCAGATCCAAAAGGAAAGTCCTTGGCCGTAAAGATTCTGAAGACGACCGTACCCGCAACCATTCTCCGTCTCCCCCCGTAACTCCCACTGGTGCTTCCCCAACCTTAGCTACCCTCAAACAAGCCGGATCTATTCAGAGAAGCGTTCGCAAGAGCAGCACCAGCAACGACAACTTCAAAGCCCTGCTGCTGAAGAAAGGGAGCCGCTGTGACACCAGTTCACGCATGTCCGCGGCAGAGATGTTGAAGAACACGGACCCGCGGTTCCACCGGACGAAGATGGATGCCTCCCCCGACCTTTCCGACAGCCCTGCCAGCTGCTCACCCAGCAAGAGCAAACGGGCCCAGGAAGAGTGGGCCAAGAGCGAGGGCCTGATGCCAAGGAGCATGTCCTTCTCTGGCACTCGCTACGGCCGGTCACGAACACCCCCCTCTGCTGCCAGCAGCAAATATAATGTCCGCAACCGCATCCAGAGCAGCCCTATGACCGTCATTAGTGAAGGCGATGGGGAAGTGGTGGAACAGTCAGAGGGCAGGGTCCGAAGGACTTTGGAAGAGCAGCAGGAGAGGCAGCTTGATATGTTTAACAGTGACGAAACGGACATGAGTGACTTTCCGTACGCTGAGGAGGCAGGCTGCAAGGACACTTTGGATCCAACCCATCTAGACTTAATGACTCAACCAGGTACTTCAGGGAAGTATCTAAGCTCTTCAGCTGAAGAAAGTTAAAAGGCAGTGACAAAAGGCGTTGGATGTTAGTCTAGAAAATGACAGAGGACTAGATTCCAGAAGAAAGCCCAGACCAGGACAAGTTAACTTTGCTGAGCATTTATTCCATGAACTGCATGTGTGTGTTTAAATGCTGAAGCAATGGTAGTTCTGCATGGTTGGGTTGGGGTGGGGAGGACTTGCTTTGAATGAGTGGTCTGTGGCTTAAAGAAAGTTAACAGTTGAATTTTTTGTGTAAAGCCTTAGAAGTCCTCTTGGGGGATGGGGGGGGAGTTTTCTCAGAGCCTGTAGGGGTGTGAAGTTTTTCTTTTTCTTGAGACTGCAATTGTGCAAGCAAAATTTAGGAATAAGTCTGAAAAAGAGGAATGGGAAGGCTCCTGTGGTACAAGCCAGACGGTTGCTTCAAAAGCAATGTAGTGGTGCAGCGTAGTGCATTTGTTAAGCAGAGAGAGGCACGATGAGGCGCGTTCACCTGTGAGGAGGTAGTAGGGTTGGTGCTGGGGTTACGTGGCTTATTACTGGGGTATGCCCCAGCGTTCGATGAAGCGTGTCCTGCTAAAGCAGTTAGGTCACCAGGTTATGAATTGGTCCAGGGTACTTGTTTTTTGGTTTTTTGTTTGTTTTTTTTTCCTGAGGGAAAATGAAATACGCCGTTAACGTGGAAAAGGGAGCCAAGTTTTATAACACACTACTAGCTGCTGTGCAGCCACACACATACGCTTGGTGAAACACTCCTTTCCAAGTGAATTGCTTCCTTGACTAGAATATTCCCTTAGAGAACTGGAACAACTGGGTGTGTGTGGAGGATGCGAGCAGAGAACAGATAAGTGGGAGAGGAATTCAGCAGTGTACTGCCAGAGTTGGGAAGGGTTACGTTTCTGAATTAGAAAGCAAAATTTGACTTTGAGAACTTGCACTACAGAGCTGTAGGTGGAGCCTGTCTTTCCAAATTGAAACTTGGGAGTTGTGTTTTGCCAGAAGTCTGTCTTCCATTTGTCAAAACGGGAAGATGATTACTTTTCATCACTTGAAATACAGATACTTGCTAACTTTTGGTTACCAAAGAATAAGTTACGGTTACTTTCCTTTTTGATTTGCCTGCAGTATTTCTTTTCTTTTTTAACGTTAATAATTTAGTGAGGTTCGTTTCTATTGTATATTTTACAGATAATAAAAACATTTGACGGTTTTCCAGTTGTAAAGAAAACCATTAATTAAAATTGAAATATTGGCTGGAGTTTTTGGTTCTTGGTAGGAATGAAGCTTTTAATTTTTAAGAAGAATTTTGCATCGTTTGATGGCGTGCGCAGTTTTTGTATTGTTTGTAAATATTGAAAGTTGTTAAAATATCTTTCCATCTCCCTACCGTAGAATTTATACATTTTTAGATTGCTTTTAAGAAGAAAAAGCACTCTTTGTAGATTATTTATTTTAGAGAAATATGCTTGTAATCTCTTTCTTCAATCCTTTACTTGTTAGTAATGTAAATTTCAGGGGCCTTCGTTTAACTCTTCCCTTCACAAGAGGGGAATAGTGATGAAAATGCTGTGACTTTGCTTCAATAAAGAAAAAGGCTGCCAGTTGCCATATTGTCTTTTGAGTTGATTAAAATCTCCTTCAAAAGATGGGTCCCGCAGCGTATGGCAACCCACTGAATGCCATCAACCATGCATCCAGCTACTAATCTCCAGTTTGCATTGCAAAATTTACTAATTCACCTTAGAGACAACTAAAGCGTACTTACATATCCATCCCATTTTGGCATCTCGATGCTGAGACTAAAAAAACTGAAATAATCCTAAACTGTTTCCAGTATCACTTGTGACTGTTTCTACTACTTCTCTCCTACTTGCAACCTGTCCCAGAAAACTAAAATTCTTGGAGAACCAGATTATAAGCAGAATGAGTGAGAAGTGAAATGGAGAAGGTGAATCCAGCTGCACTTACCGGAACAAGGGTGGGATTAACTGGTTCACAGCAAACTTTCTACCATTTTTGCAAGCTAAATAGATTTAAAGATCCATTGCATTTTTTTTTTTTAAATAAATGAAAACCTAATTGGATAAAGTAGATCATTTCAGATATTATTACTATTGATCTGAACTACATACTGTTGCAAAGATACAGTGCAAAACATTCTGCAGCTGCTAAATGTCTCCTGAGTGTTGCTCTGGTGTTCCTCCCAGAGCCAATCCCACGAAGCAGAGCGCTGTGTCCTTTTCACAGCAGGTACGCTCCCTTTCAAAGCTGTGTGTAAATGCTACTACTCGTCATGCCACCATCCTGACAGGAAAATACTCCGGCTTTGTTTTATTGTTTACAAACGGGGAAATCATCTAAGTGTAAAAACTGCAGCATTGGAGAAACTAATCATCTGGTGCCTGCAACTTCTGCCATACTTGGTGGCATTTCGCATAAAGTGCCTGTGGGAGGGAGCCTCGCCAGCTTTTTCCCTGATGCTGCCCAGCTGATGCTCCCAGTCGTTTTTAAAGGTGATACGGGGAACTCTTTGGAAAGTCCCAGCTTATATGCACACCATCTTGTCAGTGCAGGTAGGTGTGATTAAACTGAAATGTGGAATGGGCTGAATTTCTTCTCTGGGCACAGGTAGCCTTGATGCTCATTCAGTGCCCACATCTGGTGTAAGGTGAGTTTGGGCTGAGGCTCAGGTTTTGGCTGGTGTACAGAAGGCAGGGTTTGTGTAGCCCTACTGGCGTTGCTACGTGGCTACATTTTACCCAGTATGAGATGCGGTGAAATACATTAAATGTGCTGAAATATGTTTAATAGTGTTTATAATGATATTTCTTTAGGCAACTGATGTAACTTTCTTAGGAGATACTGCCGTGTCATCGCTCTCTGTAGCAGCAGGCGGAATTGGTTGGTAGCTCTTTTTTCTCAACAGCACAGCCCTTGGCCCACATTTCCTCTACAAAACCTTAAGAGCATGACAGCTTTAGGCTGTGTTTTCTGTACTGGCAACAACTTTGGTGTGTAGGTAATTATGCTAAGGAAAACGTGCTTAATTTTCTGTCACACATCCAACTTCAAAGTTACTTTCTTCCATTATAAGCTTCCGCCATAGGGAGGTTTTGCAAATATGGCTTTATTGGTCAACAAGTATGGATTAAGTTTAGCAAATCTCTGCTAAAGACATCCAGAGCAGTAGGAGAGGAGGAAAAATACAGAGCCTTCAGCCATGCTAAAGAGAAAAAGGAGACTGTTGTCATCCTGATGCTTAATGAATCCTACTGTTACAGGGCTTGTTCAGAGTTTGCAGTTGGTTTACAGTTTGCCTCTAAAACAAGAATCATTATTGAAGCTAGATGTGAGATTAATTTCTGGTTTTCCTTTTATTGGGAGTGGTTTTCAACGTCAGTCTTTTCCTAAATTTTGCTCTGCATTAGCTCATTCTGTGCTTCCTTCGTTTACCTTCAAAGTTCGTTCTTACGGCAGTCAGATGTGGGCAGCCCCAACATCTGCAGCTCTAGAATTAGAGCTCTTCAGTTACTACGTGAATACATCCGTAAGGCTCTGTGGCATTTACAAGCCATCACTGTTTATATACTGGAGAGAGGAGAATTTATTATCTTAACTGAAAGGAAGGGTGGTTATGGAAGGAGCAATAGCTTGGTGAGAGGAGGTTTGGAAGGTTACTGGAAATCAAAAGAATTGGGAAAGAAGACAGGGTTTCGAGGAACCAGGGCTGGACGCTGGTTTGTGCCTAAGGCTTGGCCTGAAAGAAGGCACAGAATAATGACAGAAATGGTGAAGCAGGGAGATTACTGAGAAGAAGAAAAGTGAAGTGAATGCACAGAAGGACAGTAAGGTATGAGGCGGGCAGGCTAATGCAGATTCTTGAAGATAAAGAAGCTTCAGCGAGTACAGAAGAGAGAAAAAGGCAAAGGAACAATGGGATAGTCACGGCAAGGGGAAAGAAAAATCGTAGCGTATGTGTTTCTTCACAATTCAAAGGGTATAGAAGGGTGAAGTCAGTGAACCATTAAAAAAAAAAAAAAGTTTTAGAAGAGAAAAAAGCAAACCGGTGTGAGCTTAGAGAGGCAGTAGTAGGCTGAAGCGAGGACTGCGCTAGGAGAGCTCAGGCAGTGGTGGGCAGGCGGCCACAGGCCGGAGCACAGCTCTTGGAAGGCTTCTGTACAAAAAAGCCTGGAATCTGGAAAGAATATGGGCTGGGGAAGGTGAAAGCTCAGATTCATCCTGCCTCATTGCTACCAGCACCCTGTGTCCAGTGATTCCTGTGGGCTGGCTACGGTTGCCCAGACACCCGCGTTCTGGTAACTCACCAAACCTTCCGTCGTTTCCTGGGGCGAAGAGAGGCCGCTTGTGCATGCGGCACAGGGGTAAATGTCTTCATCATATTGCAAGCAAATATATCTTGTCAGGTACTGTCTGGATCACAAAGTTCTGGAACAGCCATTTGTAGCAGCAGTCACTGCTCCAACAAAGCTGTTGCTATTGTACGTGTAAGTGGTTCCAAATGGTGCATCGTTTGCTTCTATACGAGATTAAAAGGATGGACTTCAACAATAAAACAACGTGTTAAAGAAATTTACAGTGGCAATGAGGAATCGTTTTATCTATTTTATTTCAAATAACTTCAGTACTCACAAAAAAAGAACACAAAGCTACAAATTACATTAGCTATATAATGTACAAAGTACAT